GCCTAGACCCTTTTCTGATGAAGGGTCTAGGCCCGAAACGTCAGCCTTTCTGCTCCTATGATGCTGCTTGGCCTGCTGTGTTCATCCAGCCCTGCACCTTGTTGTCTCGGATTCTCCAGCATCTGCAGTTCCTACTATCTCCGACACTTACTGAAACGTTGCTTTGGCAGACAGCGTAATTTATAAAATGGAAAATAGCATGCTGAAGCAGAAGGGCATGCTCTTCCTGCAGGTATTTATACAGAAAGACATCGACAATACAACACAGAAACTGGCCACTGTATCCCATCAAGCCTGTTTTGGTTTCAGCCTGCCATGTGAGCAAATAATCAAAATCAAATCTGCTTGTTTCTGACTGCCTTTGCCCCCTCTTCCTCATTCTGGCACAGAGCAGGTTGGATCAGACTACCAGTTCTTGACTAGCATAAATATAACATTAAGTGTAAAAATTCTAAGACATAACATTAGTAAAATGCCTGTGTTAAAAAAACACACAGGTTTATAAAGCCGCAGAATATATTACTAGGCAGCAATATGTAAGAATAGATGAGAGGGATTTTGAAGAAAATAGGTAAAAAGAGAAATGGTTACTAGGCAAATACATAAGATTAGAACCTAGCACTCGGATAAAAGATAAACACCTTCAAAATAGGTGGTTAGGCAAAACTGCCAATTCCCATGTGGTAACTTGGATGTGTATTTGATATTGGGCTTGGGAGAACTAGACGTTTTGAGGTGACTTCATTCCTGAAGTGGCCAAAACACATTGTCTCACCCAAGTGGGTACAAACAATTGTTTTGATAAAAATTAGGGCTAACAGTCCGGCAGTCACAGCGCAATTTTAATATTAAAGTACAGGAACTTGCAATGAATTGCTCAAACAAACGCCGGACTGTGCAACGTTTTATCCAAGTCTAAGGCTAGAATCATCGTGAAATCTCATACAAAATCCTTGAGTGTCTGCCTAACTGCGAAAATGCAACATTTAAAGACACTATAAGAAACACCAAGCAGTACCTTCACACCACAAACTTAATACAGATTATGATATTCAGCAAAAAGTTAAATACTCACGAACCTAAATGGCAGCGGATCCGAACATTTGTGGGACCATAGTGTTCAGTAATGAGTGTTTCTGGGCTCATTACGGAGAAGCAGGCATTCCCAAAGACATTGTTACTGATGAAAGTGCGAAGACTGCCGAGCAACCGGTACGTCCGAGGGCACCTTCTGCAATTATTGGAAATGCAGATGCCCTGGTTAACCAGATAGAAGGTGAACCATTCGCCTCTGGGGGTGCTGTTAACCTTCCATCCCTGTGGAAGGCTGCAGTTCGAGAATGCCTTGAAGATCAGTTCAAACTCAGCCAGGATAGCTTGGTAGTTCCGTTCCAGCAGCTCTACATCGTGCTTCTGGGCATCACGTGAAAAGTAAGGGGTTGTCGGCAAGTCAGGTAGGAAGAAAACTTCCGGTTTTTGAATGGATGGCCTGTTGTTCAAATACCGGCTCTGTTCCCGGATTCCTTTATGGATCCGTCCCATTCCTGACCACGAGTAGTGCTTCGCATATTCCTGCAGATTGTGATAAAGCTTCTGACTGCGTCCCTCATTATGAGTGCACCTTACGCAATCGACAGACTGGCAGTACATGTAACCATTTTGCAAACCATTTACATCGGTGCTCTGCATCATGGCATTCACTGGTGCATAGCTGCGAGGCTGCTCACTGCCTACATGGTAACAGTACCACACAAAAAGTGCCAGGATGCAGGCAAAGGTGGTCACTGCAGTCACATCGCAGTCTCTCAGAGCCTGCAAGCTCGCTAGAACTAAGCTTTTCATTTGGTCCAGTGTCAGGTCCCAGTCTGTGAACCACTCTATGAACATGTTCCCAAGCTTCTGGTTAGTTTGTTGTAACAAGGCAATGCTGTCAGTTCTCGACTTTTGCAAAGGCACCCACACCATGCAGGGTTAGTAATTTTTTTAATTGACAGGCAAGGATGGCATCTTGGCTCCAAAGCACTGTGTCAGCAGCCAGGAAACATTTAGTCTGTCTGCACATCTCACAGAACATACACATTACCACGATCCTCCTGCTGCATAGAAGAGAAACAGCAAGCCTCGATTTAGATTGCTGTTTTATACAGCATCTGGTTATAAATCAGCATCGCTAAAACCCCAGGTTCCTAAAAATAAAGAGCATAGAAACAAACATATATACGCAGACGATTAGTTCCATATTAGATAGAGAATATTATGTACATATTATTGACATTTAAACATTGTTTTAAGTCAACCTTATAATCGTGCACTTTTGATAAAGGTAAGAATGTTTATTTTAAAACGGAGTGCTGTGCAATTGAGAATAAATTATACAAAATTCCAGGAAAATCAACTTGTGAAAAATCATTTTATAATAATTTAACACTGTAAAACCTTGAAGATACAGCACTGGGCAAGGATGCAGGGTTGGCTAAAACAGTAGGCAAGTCAACGATTATCAGATACATTTGGTGGTCTTAGAATCCAGCTAAAATTTCTCAACATAAATTTTCCCCATTATACACAAGAGGACAATCTGAAATACTATTAGTAAAGGGATGAGTTCAGTGGATCATTAGCAACAAACGCTAGACTCAATTTTAAATGAAGTTTCTTTTCGGAAATAAGCCCGTATTTCTGTATTTTAACACCCACCCACCCAACCACAATGATACAGACAAAATAACACCAGTGGGGTAACTATCAGGAAAGATTTAAAAGAGAGAAAAGAAGACAGAGAGCAGCTTTTATAATTAAGGTCTTTGTTTGGTTGGTTCAAAGAAACTGGCTCTAAATGTGGGTAAGCAAGGACTAGAGGGCACAAGTACATGTAGGCTATTAACAGATCAAATAACTTTAGGAGGAATTTCTTTATAGAGAATGTTGACAATACAGAACAAGCCACTATATGGAGTAAATGAAGCAGATGACATTCATTCAAGGGGAGGCATGATGAATATTTGAGAGTTAGAGAGGAGAGAGCAATGGCCTTGGTGGCGAGTGATAAATGACCAGGCTGGTGGCATTTCTGGAGTGTAAACACTGACCTGGCCAAGTTCTGTGCTACAGACTTTATGTAATAAGTAAGCACGACCCAAAGGGAACTGAAGAAACTGGGAGAAGATGCCCTCGCACATCCCACATTGTCTTGTTTAAATTTGGAAAATGTACATAACATTGCACCATGTAAGTTAGAATTTGTGGAAAGCTACTGGTTTACTGCACTATGGGTGCAATTTTACAAATATTTTCATTAAAAAAAGTCACTTCATTGACAATGATATAGAAAAGCACCAACATAATGGCGCTCTTTTAATGTTCTGTGGCTGCCAATTCCTATCACACCGACACCTGGCTCTCCAAATCTTCTCCATCAATCCTGTGCCAGCTCACCAAATAAGCATTGCCCATAGTGTCAGTTTCCTACCTTCTCACAGAAATCTGCATGTTGATCCTTTTCAAGTAATCATCTAGTTCCCTTTTGGAATACTCAGGCAGCATGTTCCAGGTCTTAACCACTCACCACATGTTCAACGTTTATCCTCATATTACTTTGCTTTTATTATTCAATTTGTGCCTTCTTGTTCTTGATCCTTTCAAGAGTGGGAATATTTTCTCCCTATTTGCATCTTCAGATTTTCCCTCAGCCATCATTTCAAGAACAGCCCCAGCTTCTCAATTTTCATTAATAAAGTTCTTCATTCCTAGAGCCATTCTCGTAACTCTCTTTTGCACTCTGTTCAATAACTTTAAATCTTTCTGAAAGTGTGGTGCCTGGAACAGGATGCAATACTCTATTTGAGGCTGAACTAATGTTTTATATAAATTCAACAAAGTCCTTGCTCTTGCTGTCTATGCCTCTAATATTAAAGGCTAGAATGCTGAAAGCTTTGACTGCTGTCACAATTACCCAGTGACCTTCAAAGATTAATGCATTTATATCCCCCAATCTCCCTGTTCCTGCACTCCCTTTAGAACTTTGCCCTTTGTTTTGCCTATGGTCTTCCAACCAAATAAAATAACACCACAACTTCTCTGCATTGAAATTCATCTGTCATCTATCTGCCCACTCCACCAACTTGTATATGCTCTTACAAAGTTCTACACTATCATCCTCAGTTTACAACACTTCCAAGTTTTACTTCATTCACAAATTTTGAAATTGTGCCGTGTTCACCAAGGCCTACGTCATTAATATACATCAAGAAAAGCAAGGATCCTAACACTGACCCCTGGAGAACTCCACTGCAAACCTCCCTAGACTGGAAAACATTCATTAACCATTACCCTGTTTCCTGTCATACAGCCAATTATCCATCCATGTTGCTACTGACTCTTTTATTCTAAGCTATAACTTTGCTCACGTCTTGTTGTTCACAACAGATGCACTGTCTACTCAGTTAAGCTGCCCAAATTATCATGGCTAGCATAAACATGTATTTTCCCTCTTCTGCAGTGAACCGGATTTGAAAAAGGAAACTAATTCCAATAACATACTTATCCTAAGACGTGATCTATGTTATAAATGGTCGTATTTGGATAAATACTTCCACATACTTCAATGGTTTTCCCAAATCAAAAAAAAAAGCCAACAGTTTGTCCATAGTTAATTTGCTGGCAATTTTGTCCTTTCTGATCATAAATACATTAACTATTAGGGACATTAATTCAAAAACAGAAAACGATGTAACATTCAGCAGGTCAACAGCCAAGGCATTGACTAATAATACGTAAGAACATAAGAATTTTGGAGGAGATTTGCAGCTCGGGTTGTGGATGTTGAGGTTGGTTGGCTCACCAAGCTCGTTCGTTGTTCCACAGATGTTTCATTACCCTGCTGGGTAATATCATCTGTGCAAACCGGGCGGGAAAGCACACCGACGCTTCATCGAAGGCTGCACTGATGATGTTACCCAGCAGGGTAATGAAACGTCTGCGGAACAACAAACCAGCTCGGCGAGCCAACCAACCTCAAGAACATAAGAAATAGCAGCAGGAGATGGCCATCTGGCCCATCGAGCCTGCTCCGCCATTCATGGCTGATTTTATCATGGACTCAGCTCCACTTACCTGCCTGCTCACCATAACCCCTAATTCCTTTACCGTTCAAAAAAATCTATTTTTCCCTTAAAAGCATTCAATAAGGTAGGCTCAACTGCTTCACTGGGCAGGGAATTCCAGATTCACAACCCTTTGGTTCCTCCTCAACTAAGTCCTAAATCTGCTCCCCCTTATTTTGAGGCTATGTCCCCTAGTTCTAGTTTTACCTGCCAGTGGAAACAACCTCCCTGCTTCTATCTTATCTATTCCTTTATAATTTTATATGTTTCTAGAAGATTCCCCCCTCATTCTTCTAAATTCCAATGAGTATAGTCCAGTCTTCTCAATCTCTCCTCATAAGCCAACCCTGTCAATTCCAGAACCAACCTTGTAAACCTCCACTGCACCCCCTCCAGTGCCAGTATATCCTTTCTCAAGTAAGGAGGCCAAAACTGTGGCCTCGAGCACCCTACACAGCTGCAGCATAACCTCTCTATTTTTAAACTCCACCCCTCTCGCAATGAAGGACAATATTCCATTTGCCTTCTTAATTACCTAACATTTTGTAATTCATGCACAAGGTCACCCAGATCCTCTGCACAGCCATAATCAATTACCATTATTGATCAGGTTACGTGTGCAAAATGGGTTTCTCCCAAACATCATGTGCAATTTTGGTGAAAAATTTGAAAAAAAAAACTACAGTGAAGTGACCACTTAAGTCCTGATATGCTAGTCTAAAGCGAAAATTGGAATAGCATGACTTTGTTTATTTTTGGCATCTGTTCCTTGAATTTTAAAGGTCTCAAGCTCTGGAATTCCATCCCCAAAGCTCCCTCCTGAAGACGGTCCTTCAAAATGACCTTGCTGTCCAAGTGTTGACCACCAGTCTAAATATCTCTTATCTGCCTCAATGTTTCTTTTAAGCTCTTGTGAAGTTCCTTGGATATTGAATCACTCATATATTGTTTCCATTATCCACGACTGGAAGTGTACTGGTGCTTGACTCTGATAAAAATATTTGCATTCACTTTTATTATAGCACCTTTACTATGAGGGAATACTAGCTAATTTGCCTACTTCAGTGCAGAAATACTGAGGGCAACTTCTGATTAACATCATCCCATCCACTTCTCTTCCCAGCTGAAACAAGCGAACTCAACAAAGGCTGCTGATCAAACCAAAGGCCTTTGTAAATAAATTTTGCACCAAGCTGAAAAACTAATCCAGTTTTGAACCAATGCAAGCGCTACAGCTCTACAGTAAAATGTGATTTAATGAGCAAATGCTATATAGTTTTGTAGATCATCATCTAATTTAGAAGAAATTAAGAGAGTCAGGGAAGGTACTAGTGAGTTTAGCAGCTTTAAAAGTGGATAATTCTGCAGGCCCAGATCTGATGCATCCCAGGCCATTGAGGGAGGTAAGCAAAGAGATGTAAAAGGCCTTGGCAGTGTCGTTCAAAGCCTTTCTGGCCACAGGTGGTGGGTAAGTTATTGAAGGGGATTCTGAGGGACAGAGCCTACATTATTTGGAAAGACAAGGACTGATTATTGATCATCAATATGGCTTTGTGTATGGGAAATCATGTTTCACTAACTTCATTTGAGTTTTTTTTTGAAAAAGTGACAAAGAAGATTGATGAAGGCAGAACAGTGGATGGCGACTCCATAGACTTCAACAAAACATTCAACAAGGTTCTGCATTGTAGAATGGTTAGCAAAATTAGATCACATGGAACCCAGGGAGAGCTAGCCATTTGGATACAAAATTGGCTGCAAGGTAGGAGATGGAGTGATGGTGGAGGGTTGTTTTTCAGACTGGAGGCCTGTGACCAGCTGTGTGCCGCAAGAATTGGTGCTGAGTCCACTGTTTTTTGTCATTTACAAGAAGGATTTGGATGTGAATATTGGAGGAATGGTTAGTAAGTTTGCAGATGACACCAAAATTGGTGGTTAGCGGACAGTGAAAAAGGCTATCTCAAAGTACAATAGGACCTTGATCAGATGGAACGATGTGCCGAGGAGTAGCAAATGGAGTTTAAGTTAGGTAAATGAGGTGTTGCAATTTGGTAAGACAAATCAGGGCAGGACTTATACTGTTA